AAAAAAAAAAAAAGAAATGTTCACTTAAAAAAAAAAAAAAAACATGGCCGCTGGAGAGGAAAATGCACTTCAGGGCTGCCCTCTCCTCCGCGGGCCCCGCCCTGCCCCCTTCACTGCAGCCCTCCTCCTCTTCCTCTGGCAGTTCCAACTGCCTCGCTCCCAACTGTACACCGCTGGCTCCCCGAGTCCCTCACACAAGGGCGCCAAGAGCTGGCTATGATGCAAGGACCTACTAGCTCCAAATCCTCCTCCCAGGCTCGCGCGGGCACACTCACACACAAGCCTCATTTTTTAATTGGGGCGTGGGGTGGGGGGGATGGGGAGTAGCCGGGATTCCAGCAGGTTGAGTGGCTGAAGCAGGATCACAAAGCCACCCTTCTGCAGCTTTAGTGAGGCCCTAAGCAACTTAGCAAGATCCGGTCTCAAAAATACAAAATCAAAACGGGCTGGGGATGTGGATTAGTGGCAAAGCGCTTCTAGGTTCAATCCCTGTGCCTAAATAAATAAATAAATAAATAAAAAGGCGGGGGTCGGTGAAGAGGCTGTGGTTCAGGATATATTTCAATGGTAGAAGGACTCGTGGGTTCTATCACTCGTTCTGAAAAACATCAGCAAAATTAGAGAAAGCAAAATTGTTAATGACTTCCTCCCAGCCCCTGGCTCCCCAGTGCCTCCGGGGACCTCACTGTACTTACCTCTATAGACCCAGGTGCACCCTCTGAGCCAGGGGCACTACAGCATCTGCTCGCAACCCCCTCCCCGCACCCCTCCGCGCTCCTTTTCCTCTCTCTTCCCTCCCCCTTCTCTTCTCCACCCACTCCAACCTCCCACCTCCCCTTCCCCCTCCCCCGTCTCTCTTCCCACTCACCCACTCCCCTTCTTCTCTCTTCACTCCAGGGGTGGAAGTGGAGAGAGGGTTACAGCATCTAGGAAGCGCGGTCTGAAAGACTCTGCCCTCCACAGCGGAAGTTGTCAATAAATTTTAAATATTTTAAAAGTTATTTATATGTCAGGAATACTATTATTCATATCTATATTGTGGATGTATCTAATAGAATTAATAAGCTATTGATGGACAACTATAATGAGATGACAGTGATCACATCGATCAAAACACAGATTGAAAGTGCCCAGTTCAAAAGGTCTCACTTTCGTCAGATCCGAAGGGAGAGTAAATTCCCTATCTGACCTGAGGCATTGCAGTGGCGTCTAGCCAAAATTTTGGCCAATTTTTAAGAAGTGCAAAACACTTAGCTTGTTCCCATACCGGGAGTCGAACCCGGGCCGCCTGGGTGAAAACCAGGAATCCTAACCGCTAGACCATATGGGAACTGTTGGCTAGGCCCTCCCCAGTTTCGTATCTGTCATTTACGTGTGCCTCTCTGCCACACCTCTCATACCAACTGCGCATTAACAGGTTCGCCCCGCCTCCGAGATTCATCCGACTGCGGCTGCGTGAGCCCGGGAAGCCAGGACTGGAGTTGGAATCTCCGACTTCCGCGACCACCCCCACCCTGTCTGGCTGGGAGCTGGATTTAAGGTAGAAGCTCCGAGGACAAATGAATGGCACTTTGCTGTCTTCAGCAGTGTTAGCAGAGGTCGCAGTTTCATCTCTTACAACAGCATTGATCAAAGTAATAACTGAATATGTTCTTTGTGTACTCTCTTTGGCTTCAAGATTTCACCTTGTTGATAGAAGGATTTAAAAAATAAATAAAAATAACCGCTTAAGGAGCGGAGAGAGGGAGGAAGAACATCTCTCTACACAAACCCATCCCCGGTCACAGTACAGTTCTATTAGGCTTTTCACTGGCTACTCATGCTCAACGAGGCTAAAAATATTGATTCCCCCTTTCCCAACACAATTACCAGCGTTAATTGTGTTACCAGTAGAAAGGCTCAAAATTAAAATGCATAATGCAGGTGTACTGATGGACTTAGGTTAATGAAACACAATGGAAGCTCCAAAATTAAAATTCCTATTTACACTGATCATATGCAAAATAAAAGGTGGTGTCTTAGACCAGGAGTAAGGTGGATTAACTCCATATCACATGGTGGAAAAGTTGGGCACAGGATTTACTTGATACCCCACTGAAATCTCAAGTTTATGAAACACCAGATATTTCCCTTATCATCACATTAATTACAACCTCAAACCCAAAATCCTAATAACTGGCCGATAAACTCAACTCTACTTTAAAAATTGATAAAAGAAATGTAAGAGCTTGAATAAGGTAACTATAGCTTTCACTTCAGTCATTCACTATTATTCTGTACAGTTGATGTAGTTTTATTTTACAATTAAAAAGTTTTTTAAAAAAACAACACTACAAGCAAAGTTAAAGACAAACTGGGAAGAAATATTTACATCTCATATTATGAACAAAGGATTACATACTCCCACCACCCCTGGCAAAAAACAAAAACAAACAGAAAAAGAACTAGATATTGCTAAAACGATAAACCACCAGTAGAAAAGTGAAACAGAGTTCCCAGAACAGGAAATACACAACTGGCCCTTCAAAAAATGAAGAATGTCTTTGCCTCACTCTTGGTAAGATAAAGGCAGGTTTTTGAAACAGACAGTCTCTTCCTAAACATATCCAAGTAAAATCTTTTTTACTTCCTGGTTTAGATCCTGCTAAGGGCTACCTGTCTACTCAGGTGTTTGTCTTTGAGATAGAATCTCACTATGTTGCCAGACTAGTCTCATACTCAAGGCCTCAAGTGATCCTCCTGCCTCAGCCTCCCGAGTAGATGGGGCAACAGGGGGGCACACATCACACTCAGGTAGATGTTTGTATTTTTATTAACTCAACTCATATTGTCCTGATCTGTTGGTCATGTACAATCTTCTCCTCTATCCAAGTCAATTCTGAGGATCTGGTGACCCTAAAGCATTACCTCTTATCCTTTCCTGCCACTGTTTGTGCAGTATTTCATCATCCAGGAATGAGACAGTTGGCTCATCTACGAGGTCGTTCAATTGTTCACTAACATGAACAACCTTGTACTTGCTCTCTGGGGTGGGGGTGGGGGTTTCCTATGATAACATGGGCCTAAAAGTGGTTCCAAAGAAGGTGACTTTCATATTACTCAGTTTGGGAAGAAATGTTTATATCTCACAATGTGAACATAGGATTAAAAACTTTGAAATTCACACCTAACAAAGTCGAAAACATGAAGACCAATGACATTTTAAGGAGAGGGCATTAGCTGGTTTGGAGGTTGGAGCAGGGACTATTTATAAAGGAAGAATGCCTGAGAAAAGACAGCTACATCCATGAACTGCTGGGCTGAGTGCCTGCCTCTGTGGACACGGTCAGGCAGCCCCAGGCTCCAGCTGCTTGAGTTTCTCCTGGATCCCCCGGAGTTGGCTTCGACCCCAGTTGATACGGGTCTGGAGGCTAGCTATATCTGCAGCTAGCTGTAGGCCTGGGGAAAAGAAGAGAAAATGTCACCGTGGTATGATAGTATGACACATGACTCAGAAGCTCTGCCTGACTCCCCAGAGACTGCAAAGATTCCAGGCCTCTCTGGCCTTCACACTATTCCTAAAATGTTCCTGGTATGGCAAATCATTGGCTGCTCCCAGACCTCACTGGACACACACCCATACATACCCTCACTTCTTTCAGGTCTGTGATAAAATGTCATCTCTTCAGAAAGTTTCCCTGCCCACCTTATCATCCAGAAGAAATGAAAACCTTATGGATGGTAACACCTTCTCCATGGCCTCATTCCCTTCCTCCTTCCATCATGGCACTCCTTCCCTCCATCTTTTTTCTCTGTCCCTGAAAGTGATCCATACTCTGGATCCACCTCTAAGTAACTTTTGCCAATGTCTCTGCTATCTAGTCCTCTCTATCACCCAGTTTCCAGTCAGTCCTCAGTTTTCAGCCTCCCATTCACAGCAGGGATGATCACACATCTATTTCACTTCTCCCTCCAGGAAGCAACTTTCTCCTTTTGGCTTCTGGGACACCCCACCTTCTGGGCACTGTTCCAGAAGTCTCCTCTCCCATACCTCCCATTCACACTCCCAGGCTTTCTTTAGATGTCATCCCGTCTCAGCTTTAACCCTGCACATCTGTGTCAACAAATTGTGGATTTAAACAACAGCATTTCGCAGCAGATTCTAAAATCTCTCTCCAGCTCAGGCCTTTATAACACTCCAGAGACATGCAACTAACCACCAAAACACTCCACCTGGGAATTTTTGGACACCATATAGCGTATAAGAACACAGGCACAACCATTCTCATCTACCAACTTCCCTCCACCTACTGCCCTGCAGCATGCCCACTCCACCTGCCCATTCCAGCTCCATCCTCCCAGGGTTGTGGGTGAAGACCATGGGTTCTCCTGAACTCTCTTACCCTTACCCATACATCCAATCTGTCAGCAAATGCCAAGGCCTCTCCTCTCAAAACATGTGCAAGTTCCCACTGTTTACCCCACCTTCACTGGCTTCTCATTCCTGGATTCTTCTGGCACCTGCTACTTTTCACTGTTCTCCAATCTATCTCTACTCAGTATCTTAAAGGATTCCTGTTACCCTGTGAGTTCTACTGCACCATCCTGTGGTCAGAGCCACCTCATGGTTCCGAAGTCCTCATTAGGGCCTACATTACCAGGGCCTGGCCTTCCTGCCCTTACTCCTGGCACTCATGCTGAATTGACTCCATTCTAGCCACTGGCTCATCTCTGTTCTTCTGCCAATGCATCAAGAATATCTCCCCTTAGGGCTTCTCTGCATTGAACTCTGTTCCCCCAGATCACCCACACAGCTTTTTCTTCATCTCCTCAGACAGACCCTCCCTGGCCTTCCTTCATAAAATAGCTGCCTTAGCTCACTCCTATCCCACTCCTTTCTGTGTTACTTTATTCACAGTTTTCACAGACTGACATTATATTAAAGGCCTACTCAATTATTTGACATTGCCTTTCTCCCCACCACAGAATAAAGTCTCCATGAAGGCTCTTTGTCCCTTTTGTTCCCCACTGTATTCTACACTGACAATAGTCAATGAGTACCTTTTGGGGAAAAAACAGGTATGAAACAAAAGTTTGCAATGGAGTAAACCTGCAAAGTCCTAACATGTTATTGCTCAAGTGCTCTCTGGTTAGAGCCAGAAAAATAATTCAGGGCCACATGGCCAAATGGCAGGATCTACTTACCATCCCGGAAGCTGGCTTGGGCCTGCCGCAGACTGTGAGGAACCAGGATTCCAAACCAGTTCAGGGGGTCCTGTGGGGCTGCAGAGGGCTCTGGCTCTGGAGTTTTGGTAGGGCCCTTGCGCCTGCGCAAAGCTGGAAAAAGAAAGGTTGAAGGTGGATGGTGTCTTACTACAGGACTTTGTTGTCTTAATGACAATGTTGAGCTTACTCTGAGCTCATGATTCTAAAAAACACTGAATGTTGGGAAATCCCCACCTTTTATGTTCCGAGATATAGCACCACCTTTCCTCTTGTGATTCAGATGATAAGATTTTCTGTTCAGCTGAGAGCTCCCTTGATTGCAAAACTACCCCAACTGTATATATATTGCAACCCACCTATATAACTTCTCAAATCCTCCCTGTAAAAGTCTAAAGCCAAACCACACTACTAAAACATTCTAATCTACAGCTCAGAGGCATTTTGTATTTGATATCGGGTAGGGTCCCTAGCAGGAGGAAGGGGACTCACCTGACTCTCTGGGCCCCACCTCCTCTGGAGTCTGGGCATCTGCTCTCACCACCCTGAAGGTCTGGAATCCGTTCTGGGTCTCACTGAAGGACAAGGGGA